GTCTGTGCTGCAGCTATGCCGCCACTGCCGGTACAGCACCAGCAGCAGATCGACGAGGGTTCTCGATCGTCACCGGCCAGACAGCACCAGAATGGCGGTTCGCCGGCTACCATGGCCGCKGTCGTCCCGTCGCCGAACACGCCGCGGAAGAGAGGTACGAATCGTCTCGCACGCAATACTTATTGTAAATACGATGACGACGCCAAAGTCATTTGTATATATAGATATGGACAACACTGAGTTGTTAGGCATATAGCATCCTCATCGTACCATTTTTGGCACCATACGACATCTACCCTCCTCGTYCACTTGTTTAACTTCAAACAGAATGTTTTCGTCCCGTTTGAGAAATCATATACTAAAAATTTAATAGGTATAAACTTGTAAATAATAACGGTTTTTGTATAACGAGCGTCATCGAGTGCACACGAACAACTGCAGTTTACAATAATAATAGGCATGAGACAAGTAGTATATTATAATRAATTGGCGTGGATCTAAATATAAACTTTTTAACTAAAACGTCTTTAAAAACATAAAAAATTTGGAGGCTTTTCCTTACTGTTAAACTACCAATTGTTTATCACGTATAATTTAATTCGTAATCGTAATTAATAGTATGGTCACTTTACGACTGCATABCTAAACCAAACCGGTTCAGAAAGGCCGCAAAATGTATTAGATGTATAGGTATATCGGTTGTCATGATCTCGTGTTTAACGTCGTCAAAACGAACGGTTTAATCGCAATAGGCGGTTCGTAAACGAGAGAAATGAGACTATTTATTTAATTTGAATTAGAGTTRATATAAAGTTTATTATGTGATTTTCTTGAGAAAACGCGTACAACGCCGTTATTTTAAAGTTATTATTATAAAACTGTGCAAAATATTTGGAACGGAGACGGATTACGCGGCCAATAATAATAATGATCATCGACAACGTTGGCATATATTATATGAATATTATATTATTATTATTATTAAACACTGCAGCTGCTAAACTGCGGCTGTACATCATAATATAACAGCATGAATATTGTTTTCCGCCGAAACACGCCGTGAAGATGACAACGTGTATACATATCATTATCATGTATTATATAGGTATAGCTGATAATAATAATATTGATAATCGTAATAATTAATCCGGCTTATCTATAACACAACCGTCGAAACAATAATATAGTAAAATTACAATATTATGTCACAATATATGCGATCGYGGCGGTCATCATCTCCGCACAGGACCCGTACGCATATATTATCCTTATGCGTATATTTTATCGATTGATTCCGTATCCGACCGACGTCATTGCCACGGCCGTCGTCATGCTGGCAGATTATTTAAAATTTAAATAAAAAAAAAAAATTGCTATATTATGTTGATAATAATATTGTCATGATATTAGCTGTTGCACGAATTATTCATATCAATGTATACCTACATATTATACTCCTCCGTCGCGTAGGTTGGCACGCTGTCACATATTATTATTATATTATGTAATATATTATTTTAATTTCGTATGGTCTGTTCCTATTGCGATGTCATCATAAGACTTCCGAGAACGGACGGTTACGGTTCTTGAGATGCGCGTCAAGACGAAAAATCATCACCCTCATATGATAATTTAATATCAATAGATCACGTTTACTTATGATATGCAGTGGCGTAATTACGGGGGGGGATTTGGGTGTCGTATCCTCCCCATGACCTTTTTTTTTAAGATTGATTAACTACATACCTATGTACTTCATTATCTAATAATATTATTATTTTTTTTTTTATATATAAATGTATATATTGAAATCAAATACCTCGGCGAAATAATATTATTATA